TACAACGCGATTCAGTCGTCCTCTTTTGCTGGGATCGACCTACGAATCTCTTCTTCATGCACTTTCATACGAAATAAAAGTCCCACAAAAAGTATTATATTCTATCAAAAGTGTCGTCATACAAAGTCGCCTAGTCACCATAGCCACAAGACGAAGATGGCACGGCTATGGGCGGGATGAATGTGCAGCCCCGAGACAGGGCTTGAGAGTTCGAATCCCAGCAGCCCGATTCCCGTGGCTGATCAACCTGGAGGACACGTCTGCGATTTGCGGCGAAGAGTGAGCGATTGTCGAGGCCGTCGTGTTGCAAGAAGGCAATCTCTGGAGGCCTGAAGCCATGGGCTGTTTGCTCGTGAGCTCGAGTCCCGTCGAAGCCGACGCGCACTTGAGGCGGGCAGGCGTTTGCTGATCGTCCGCGGGGCCGATTGGCCGCAGAGAGCCAATGACGAAGTCTTTTGTCGAGTTGCAAGCTTATGCAAATTTGCTCTTCGCTATCAAATGGGCACAGGCTTGCGGGCGCAGTTCGACCGAAGTGTCCGGGGGGAATTGGTCTGTCCGAAAAGGTTGAGTCGGTCGGTCAGAAGGTCAATCAGTCATTCATTCATTCATCAGTCGATATTTGAGAATACCAAGTAGACGGTCACGAGAGGAATATGCAATCTAGTCAATTGCAATGGGCAATGTAATCCCACAGCAGGAGTGTGATTTGATAAATGGTGTATGTGTATAGGACACAGGCTCGACTAACGCAAGCGGGATTCGAGTCCCGCCGGGGGTGCTGACAAGATGGCTTCAGGCACTCCACCTCAGACTGGATGAGTATGCTTGTTGGGAAGCAGGGCTTTGTGAGACGCAATGGCAACTCGTCAGATTGTGACAAAATTCATTCATCACTCCTGCATCATCCTAAATGAAATAAAGCAAAGACAGCTCACATATTCATTTATTCACTAATTTAGTCATTCATTCAATCACAGTCAATCAATCAGCCTGATAGTCGATCAGTCGGTCGGTCTATCCGTCATTTAGTCATTCGTTTAGTCAGCCATTCATGCGTGCATTTATTGAAACAATCATTTATTCAACATTAATCGGTAAAATAGTCATCCACTCCGTCGGTCCCTTAGTCACTCAGTCAGTCAGTAGGCTGGTTAGTTGGTCAGTCATTCATCGATTCATTTATAGAATGAGTCAGTCATGTAATCAAATTTAATGAGCCAATTGATCAGTTGGTCGGTCATCCAGTCATAATTA